TGAGTTTTGTGGTCAGAATCGGACTGCTGGGACAAAACAGCTCCTACACCGGAATCAGATGCATCCACCTCAAGGATGAACTGCTTCGTAGGATCAGGCTGGACCAAGATGGGGGCACTGGAAAAGAGTTTCTTGAGTTTATTAAAGGCAGAATCAGCCTCAGGTGTCCATTGGAAGGTTTTCTTAACAGAAGTCAGAGCGGTAAGTGGTAGAGCAGTTTGGCTGTAATTTCTGATGAAACGCCTGTAGAAATTAGCAAAACCAAGGTTTTCGGGGGTTGGCCAATCCAGTACTGCCTTTATTTTCTCCTCAGATGGCTTCACCCGCCTTCAAGCACAAACCCAAGGAATGTAACAGATGGTTGATGGAATTCACATTTCTCCGCCTTGACGAAGAGCTTGTTCTCAAGCAACCTCTGAAGGACCAGACGAACGTGTTTCTTGTGGTCAGAGAGGTTCCTAGAATAGATCAGAATGTCATCGATGTATACGAACACAAAAACGTTTAGAAAATCTCTGAGGACGTCATTGACTAGAGCTTGAAAAAAGGCAGGGGCGTTAGGTCAAAAGGCATGACCAAATATTTCAAACTGGCCGATTGGTGTCTTAAAGGCAGTTTTCCATTCATCTTCTTCCCTTATTCTAAGAAGATGATAGGCGTTTCTTAAATCAAGCTTGGTGAACACAGTAGCTCCTTGCACTGGGTCTAGAGCTGATGCCAGTAGAGGAAGTGGGTATTTATTTTTAATGGTTATCGGATTCAATCCCCTGTAATCAATACAGGGTCGAAGGGAACCATCCTTTTTACCCACAAAAAAAAAAAAAACAGCGCCGAGAGGAGAATTATATTAATGAGTCCTTAGCTGCTGGAATTATCAGACCACCTTCATCCGGTGGTCTGATAATTCCAGCAGCTAAGGACTCATTAATATAATTCTCCATCGTTTCAAGTTCTGTTTTGGAGATGTTAAATAGCCTGCTGCTGGGAAGAGGAGCTCCAGGTAATAAGTCTATGGCACAATCATAAGGTCTATGAGGAGGTAAAGACGTAGCACTGACCTTACTGAAGACTGGAGCCAGGTCATGATACTCAAGAGGAACAGTGGAAAGGTCAGGAGAGTCCAACTTCCCCCCACCTCTAGGGGGCTGTCTAGTGGGAGCAGCAGAACAAAGACATGACTCATGACAGGAAGTAGACCATGACTCAATGTGGCGGTCAACCCAGTTAATGTGGGGTTTGTGACGTATTAACCACTCGAATCCAAGCACCAGGGGAGAACAAGCAGAGGGAAAAACAAAAAAAGTCAGAGTCTCACGATGATTAGCAGAAATGAGGAGCTCCAAAGTCTGAAGAGTGACTTGTTGCAGACGTTTCCCATTGATAGCCGCAACCCTGAGGGGCTTCTGCAAAGGAACAGTCTCAATCCCCAATTGCTGAACCAGATTTGAATCAATAAAGGCCGACGAGGTCAGAGACCGGTTGGAGACAAACAGAGTTGCTGGTAATAGTAGGTGAGGAGATTTATCAGTTTTTAGATGGTCCGTCAGACTCCTCACATCCTCTGACGGACCCCGGCTTTTGATCTTGCCGGGCAGGAGGCAATAAAGTGTCCAGGCTCACCACAGTAGAGACACAAGTTCCCCTTGAATCTCCGTTGCCTTTCCTCAGGAGAAAGTCTTGTATGACCAATCTGCATGGGTTCACATTCCGCTCATTCTGTGGATGGGGAGAAGAAATGAGAGACTTGAGCTGAAGCTGGAGGCGATTGATTCTTAATCCCTGGTCTGGTACTGGACCCTGGTGATCTGACAGAAACAGAAGAGCGGTTGGATGCAGGGGTGGACATTCCATGGTTCTTTTGTCTAGCTTTATCTCTAATCCGAAGTCTGTTATCCAATCTTAATGATAATCGGAATAAATCCTCCAAGCTAGAAGTCTCGTCAATTGTGGCGAGTTCATCTTTAATGTTTTCATTAAGAGCCTTGAAAAAAGCACTCTTTAGTGCACATTCGTTCCATCCTGAAGCTGCAGCCTTGACCCGGAAGTCAATGGAGAATTCTGCCACCTACAAATTTCCTTGCTTTAAATTAAGCAAGGCCCGGGAATCAATTGTTTGATCTGAATCCTGGTTGAAAACCTGAGAAAATTCATTCAAAAATTCAGAATATGTGCATGAAAAACTGGTTTCATCAGAAAATCTGGCTTCCGCCCATTCAAGAGCTCGGCCTGAGAGTTGAGAAAGAATGAAAGAGATCTTCCTTCTATCGGTAGAAAAACTGGAAGGAGACCCTTCAAAGAGTAAACGACATTGAAACAAAAACCCTTACATCTTGACTGATTTCCGGAAAATCGTTCAGGTAAACTAGGACGGAGTTCAGGAAGTGACGTCATTACCTCTGACCCTTGAGGCGGAAGTGGTTCAGGAACAGGAAGTACAACTGGAGCGGTGTTAGCAGTTCTCTCATAGCCAGCGTATCTTTGTATAACTTGATTCTGATGTTCAACAAAAGCATTTAACTCACGGAGGGTCTGGGCTTGCCCTTCGATCCGGGCTTCTTGAGCCGCAAGCCTCCTTCGGAGGTGTTCCGCTGGGTCTTGTTGATGGCCGGAGTGTTCTGTCATGATTGGGTTTAAGGACTTAGCCCACATGCAGAACACAACGCTCTCTGCTGGAGATCAGGTGGCAGATCTCTGGATCCTGACACTGGCCTCCTCAAAGCAGTAACTTCAGCAAACTTTGTTGCCGCTTTACAGTGCAACAGGTACTTCTTTGGATTCATCAAGTCGTTAAGTATTCTATTACAAGGGTCATCACAGGATATCCTCACTGCATATGAAGAGGTCAAACTTGTAAAAGACACTCTAAGGGACATAAGATGTGAGGCTGAAGCTGAATTCAAAGAGGTTTATGAATCAATGTTAGAAATGGGGAAACTGGCTGGTTTTGATGGTGACCTCCCAATACCTAGACGTTGTGGACGGCAGACAATGAGAAACAGCAATCCTTCAAATAGCCCTATGCAGTACTGGAGATGTACAGTCTTTGTTCCATTTCTGGACAGTCTCATTTCAGAACTTGACTCGTGCTTCAGTGGTATGTCCGCAGCTGCCATACCAGGCTTAAAAGTGTTGCCAAGCAACCTGCATTTGATGAACACTGAGAGTGAGAAAGACATCTTTACATCATATAAAGATGATCTACCGTCGGGATCAACATTCAGGCAGGAAGTGAAGTTGTGGCACGCAAAGTGGTCATCATCAGTGGAGAAACCCAGCTCTCTCCCTGAAATTCTAAACATAACAAATATGAAGTGCTTACCCAAACATTTATAGGATTCTTCACCTTCTGTCGGTCATACCTGTTACCAGTGCTTCTGTGGAACGTGCTAACTCGGGTCTTAAAGCATTGAAAACTTTGCTGAGGTCAACAATGGGACAGGAAAGGTTTGTGGCTTTGCTACTCTCACTGCATGAAAAGTCAGATTTTCGTCCCCGTAAACTCCCGCAGATCTCCCTGATTTTCGTCAATTTCCGACAATTTGGAACCCGCGCTTGTCCGCATTTGTCGTGCCACAAATTGTCGGAAACGGACTCTGACGTATGTGGGGAGCGATCAGCTGTACTAATGGCCCTAATTAGCATATGAATGCAGCAAACCCGCGTGGCTGGCCAGGTCTGGCTTGAATAACCT